AAGGCGAGAGAGAGAGGAGGAGGAAGAGACGAAGAGAGAGAGAAAAAAAGGTTATTTCACGCCGTTTCACCCCTTTTTCCGCTCCTTTTTCCTTTTCTTTTTTATCGGTGGCTGTCCATGAATATCTTACGCCAGGTGCACACGTTCTTCCGAGTCGGTGTGAGTATTATTTGAGGAAAAGAAAATGAATCGAGAAAAGCCTTGCCAAAATATTCCAGTCCCGTTTCTTTTTTAAAAAAACTTAAAGTCGGGAGGTTGTTGTTTTCCCATCTATTATTTTTCCCATTTATTTTTTTCCCCATTTATTTTTTTTTTATATAAGATAAGGTAGATACGTAACTAAGGGGGAGTTGTAGTTAGTAGTTATATAACCCGGGAGTTGGGTTTTTCCATTTAGAAAGTAAGCCATTTTATTTATATCCCTTTTTCTCTCTTCCTATTTTTATTCCACTCTTTTCCCAACTCTCCCTGCACTCGGATGTAAGTGAAGGCGTCCACCAACAGTAACAGGGAATAAGGAGGAATAATGGTAGTAATAAGAGCAGCCGAAGATAATTTGAACGTGTGATGTAAAGGTGTTCTGTTTTTAAGAGTTTATTGGAGTTAGAATAGTTATCACTTGTATAACGATCTATTTATGCAACTAAAGGGAATTTTTGTGGTTATCACTCTTATAATAAGCCATTTTTGTGCCAAAATGAATAACATGGGAGTGATATTCCTCAGATAGACTTATATAATTGAGAATTCTTATTACATCCTAATATTTTTATCCTTTTCCTCATTACTTGATGATAAAAAATGCATTAACGTAGATAGAATTGTCTTATCTACGTCATGTCTTATATTTAGATTCTACAAGATTTACCCATTTGATATCTCGGGTTTGTGAAGGTATAGTCGTGTAGGATGGAGGAAGATGGTTTCTGTTGCTTATTTATTGGTTTATTTAAGCTTCTGGTGTCTGGAACATGCACAGTAAATAGTGGTTTTATATTTGTATTATATTTTATGTAATGACCTCCATAAGTGTGCAGTTGCCAATTAGACAATTTTCATGTGTAATTAAACATATTGATTGAAGCTTTGGTGAAAAAAGAAATTATCATTTCTGTTACAATTAAGATTATTATTATTATTATTGCTTTTATTTAAGTAACATTAATGATAATAGTTGTCATATAAAAACAACACTTTTATTTTGAAATATACAAGGTATGGGATAAACGGAAAGGTTAGGTAGGCCGAAACTTCGTTCTTTGGGGTATCGGCACATGTAAGCCATTTGTGTGTTGTACAAATAATACAAAGCAAATTAAAAGTGGATATTGTGAATATATGTACACTGTTATGCCAGTGGGGTTAAGATACCATTAACATAAATCAACATAAGGTGATGATACAGTTTCCAGAAGATTAAAGTTGAGATTATGAAATTTAACTTTTTGACTCTGAATTCCATCTGAATTAGAGGGTGTTGCTGATCCAAATTTCCCTAAAAGACGAGACAGAATTTTTAAAGATCATTGGAAATCTCGCTGGACCCTCAACCTCGAACCCAGGGCTCTGGAGTTTGCCAGAATCCCAGACTACAGGGCCGACGAGATTAGAAAACGGGGAAACTCTAGTCTATTACATTGACACTGTAGAGGTGTCATCGTACTCAGGAAGTTAAAGTTGGGGATATGACTTTGTAAATATAGGCTGAGGATACGATTGTCATAAAGCTATAAAATTCATTATATGCTTTTCATTAATTTAAAGTTGAGAATGTGATTTCCATAACATTGAAGTTGAGGATACAACGCACTTTCTATAAATTTTGTTATTTGTATGATTGCCGAGAGGTGGCAGGGATTTTGTCTGGCTTAACCCATTCACGCTGGGTGTCACATATACGTGACGTGCCCACTGTGAGTTTACTTGTTTAATTGTTTACACACATAGATGGCTACACTTGTACTTGTACTGCCTGTCTTGCCTGTTTACCCTTTTCTTTAATTTACGAAAATATTTTACGTTATCTTATGTTGCTGTTACTAATGTTTATAACATTATAGTAATTATAATGTTTATATTAAAAATAACCATCGATATTCATAGCACTTGTAAAAATACATTTTCCCGCCAATTCAAGTAAAGGTGAAATCAGATAAGGCAGAGCCATCTAGTGTAGAGACATTTCACAAAAAATATAAAGAATGAGCACAGCATTTTCCCCATTTTTTGTTCATTTTTACCCCTCGTGAATGGGTTAAAAAGGGAAATTATGAATTGTAATATTTATGTATGATGCTATTTATTCATTTTTGTTTTTTAAACTTACCTATTCATTATTAAGATTTTTAGTAATATTACTTATTATAAGGGATTTTTCATCTTCAATATAAGAGGAGCAAATTGCAAATATGGAAGATATTCAGCCTCATAGACTGGTGTATGCTTACTGGCCATACATTAGTTTGTGAGACCATCACACTTATTGGTGGTCTGCCAAAGCCCAGTAAACCTACATGATCGCAGTGGTTATATTGTCTAATAAGTCCAGCAAGCAACCATTTCAAGCTCTGTCTTCCATGAATATACACAATGTGATTTGTTGACCTCTCCTAGAAGTGTGTGCAGCTGCCATGGAACATGCTCTCATTATCATGTCAGACTTCATTTGTAGGTCATCCATCACAGATCACAGCAATTTTCAAGTTGATTGCATGCAATACAGACAGTATAGCTGTGAGGAAAAAAAGATCCTGTTGTTAAAGCCACTGTTATATTGACAATATCAAGTTATTGTTTTGTCATTGGCACTCTGGCAAATATCCCAAGAAGTATTGATCATAATTTTCATTTAAATTGATGCAAGGAATTTTATATGTAACAAAGAGCAAATCTGGCTGTAAAGGCCTCAGTTTTTGTCCTTTTGATTGAATAATAACATATATGTTTAAAAAATATTTTATTAATGGACACATTACACACATCATTTTACTCATTTGTATATATTTCCATTGACAAAATTTACTGACATTTCTTTCTTCCACAGCCTGATCTAGGCATCAGAAGCATGGCACTGTACGAGCCAACCGTCGCCACCAAGAAGGCTTCCTTCGGGATGTCATGATTTTGGTTTCCGGAGGCCATGTTCGGCTGTGTCCCCGGGGTCATTCGGACCCGGGTGGGCTATGCCGGCGGGTCAAAGGTTAACCCAACCTACCACAGTTTGTAAGTGTTGCTGCAGGATTCTATTTATTTGTGTAGTTATTGTTGTCATTTTTTCTGTTGTTATTATTATTATTATTATTATTATTATTATTATTATTATTGATTATTATTATTGATGCAGTAGTGACTGTTGGAACATGTCATTTGAGTTGTCACATCAAACAGGCATAAAACAAATTTTAAAGAAACAAATGCAATAGAGTTGCAGTAGGACAGTATTTTAGTGACATTAAGTTAATATGAATTTAATGAAGAGTGAGTAACATTTTGTAATATAACAGTAAAGGCTCTTCCATAGAGACAAAATCAAAGACTGACAATTTAAGATCAATGGAAAGTTCTTGATAACAGCAAAGATAATGGTAATGATGGTAATTATTGATTTGTTATTATTATTAAGTACAAGTGTTGTTGGTGATATTGTTTGATTTTTTACAATAATATTAATGACCATATACAGTCAGGTCATCATCACCTGTGTAAGACAACCTGGAACTAACTTTATTTTTTTCTTGCATTTTTCTTTTTGTGCAAGGGATTTGACTTAATTTAAATCTTAATCCCTCCCCCATAGACAACGAGGCAAAATTTGACTTTATAAACCGTTTCCAAAGCTTTGAAATTGAGCTCTTCACTAATATACCCAGATTTTGCCATTAATCCCCACTTCTTTCTCGGCTTAGGGGTGACCACACAGAGACGGTGGAAGTGGACTATGACCCCTCGCAGACAGACTACAGCAAGCTGCTGCAACTGTTCTGGAAGAACCACAACCCAACTTCCAACTGCTCTCGACAGGTATTAAGGTTCATTTGCTCGTGTTTGCGCGATCTGTTTTTATCTCGTGATATTAGCAGTTGTCTCAGGGTTTTTTATTTATGTGATTGTCTGCTGTATTTTCTTATTAACCCATTGCTGATGGGCATGCCATGCCATGCCCACTGTGAGTTTACTTATTTGATTGTTTTTACTCATAGATGGCTACACTTGTACTAAGTCACCAGTGAGCCAATTACGTGTTCTGCCTATCTTGTCCGTTCACCCTTTTTCATTAATTTTTGAAAACATTATAGTAATTATAATGTTTATAATAAAAATAACACCATCGATATTCATAGCACTACTAAAAAAATACATTTTCCCGCCAATTAAAGGAAAGGTGAAATCAGGTAAGGCAGAGCCATCTATATGTAGAAACATTTCACAAAAAATATAAAAAATGAGCACAGCATTTTCCCCATTTTTTATTCATTTTCACCGGCAGCAATGGGTTAACTTGAGTAGAGGCTGTGAATGCAAACCGTTGGGGGTGACTAGTGGTACATGCTGAACTCACTGTTTTGTATGTAATTCACACATTTTTCCAATCACTGTCTCTATCTCTCATTCTCCCTCTTGCAGTATATGTCTGCCATTTTCTACCACAATGAGGAGCAGAAACGTCTAGCAGAGGAGACAATGAAGGAGGAACAGAAGAACCACGGGAAGCGCATTGCAACCACCATCACCCCCATGAAAGCGTTCTACATTGCTGAAGCGTAAGTCATGGCACTATCTTCTTCTTTCTTTCTCTCTTTCTTTCTTTTTCTTCTCTTTTCTCTTTTTTTTATCTTCTGACTTCTCTCTTTTTTTCTCTCTCTCTCTCTCCTGTCATATTTTTTTCCTTTGGTTATTTCTTCCCTTCTCTGTTTTTTTCTCATCTGATCTCTTGTCCTTCTCTTCTCTTTTCTTTTTTTCTCTATTCACCTATCCTTATTTCTTCTTTTCTCTCCACATTCCTTCTCCTCTCCTCTCCTCTTTACTTTTTCTCTTCTCTCCTCATGTCTTTTCTTCTCTTCTCTTCTCTTGTTTTTACTTCTCTCCTCTCCTCTCCTCTTTTCATCATCTTTTCTGTCCTCTTTTCTCTATTCCTCTTCTGTTCTCCCCTCATTTCTCCTACCTTCTCTTCTCCCCTTTTTTTCCATTCATTCCTCTTCTTTTCTCTTCTTTTGTCTCTTCTCTTTTTTTCCCTTCCCCTTCTCTTCCTCTTCCTCTTCCTCTTCCCCTTCCCCTTCCCCTTCCCCTTCCCCTTCCCTTCCCTTCCCCTCCCTTCCCTTCCCTTCCCTTCCCTTCCCTTCCCTTCCTTTCCTGTTCCTTTTGTTTCTTCTCTCCTCTCTTATCCTCTCCTCCTTTCTTTTAATTCTCTTCTCTTTTCTTTTTTTTATGCAGCTTTTTTCTCATTTCATTTCTTATCTCTATTTTTTCTTTCCTCTTCTCTCCTTTTCTTGTTTTATTAATTCAGAAAATTTCTGCACCACAAAGGAAATATCATAATTTCCAACATTGATTACTATGTACATTTAGCAGTTTCTTGCTTTCTGTCCTATTGTGTTTTTGCTCTTTGAAATAGCTTATTTTGTAAGAATTTGGAAATTTAAGTTTGGGTTTCCTTTTTTGATGATGATCTGATAATGACGATGATGATGATGATGATTTTGATGATGATGATGATGATGATGATGATGATGATGATGATGATGATGATGATGATGATGTACCACCTAACCAAACCTTTCTTCGTGTGGTGCAGCTACCATCAGAAGTACATTCTCCAGCAACACGCTCCAGTAATCAACAGCCTGGACATTGACCCCGGAGATGAGCTCGTCTCTTGCCATGTTGCTGCTCGCATCAATGGATACTTGGGTGGTTATGGATCGGTGGCAATGTTTGAGAAGGAGTGGAGTAGGTGGGGAATAACAGAGAAGACTGCAGACTACATCCGTAAGCAGATCGTTTCTTCCTTTCGTGGCAAGTGCTAAACTCTGATGCCTTCCTTTGAATTGTAGGGAATCAAGAAAGCAACTTATTTAGGGTATCAGTTAGGCAGATGGTGTAGGAAGGAATATGTAATTCTGTTTATTATTATTACTGTTTGCCCCCCATTTTCTCTGATTAATGATGATTATTTTTTTTCCTGCTAAGTATCAGTTATTTCATTGATGTGATATGAGCCGAATCCAGGATTTCTGAATTCTTTAAAAAAGAAAATAAAATAAAAAGAGAGAGGGGATAGTTCATTTGTATGATTGCAGTCAAAATCTATTTTTTATGTCAGGATAAAGATATCAGTTATCTATTTTTTTTTCCATTTTTCATTTTTCCAATGTTATTTTCTTTCTCATCCAGCCTGAAAGGCTATTTCCTATCATGCAGTATTCATGCTAACCTCACCGTCCAGTTTAGCTGCAGTTGTAGACATCTGCAGCAGAATATTACAAAGCTTCCCTGTGCATGCATTATATGGTGTTAATTTGATATTTGTAAACTCAGGATCAGGAAGAATGTTTCATGCCTTAATGAGCTAACTCATTAGTAATAAGGCATCTCCATTCTAACCCCACTCCACTCATACTCACTGCAGTGTATGGTATAGTATGTTTTATGTTGTTACACAGCAATGCTTTTGTGAATCTGAATGATGTTTATTGTACTTGTGAAGAATGATGTGGTTTGCTTACAATTGGTCACAGTCAGGAAGGAATTTAATGTGTATATAGTTAGCTTCAGGAATCGGGTATATGTACTCTTGTCGGATTTGAGATCTAAATGGATCATGATGCATGGTAATGGTAAATGCAGTGCCCAGTAACAATGCATTTAATTGTACTTACTTTGAGTATTTAGACAATCATAGTCTAATACTCAGTGAATGATGTTAATTATGTTAATTTTTTTCTGGATTTCATTTTTGTTGTGTATTCCTGTTGAAAATTGATGGTTTCTCTTTGACACAGGAAACATGATGAGTTAACTAATAGAACCTCTGAAATTAATGAGAACTGGATATTTTGCACTTATCAAGCTGCATGGAAATCAAATGTATTTTTTTGATAACAATAATCCAGGCAAGACTGCTAATGTTTTTTTTTTTTTTTTTTTTTTTTTTTTTAAGGTGCCATTGATGAAAAAAAAATATATGTAGTAAATGCATTTTTGTGAGTAACATGTACACATATATAAACTTTTGTGCCTTTCTTTGTAAGACATTTAATTTACTTTGACCATACATGGCAATGCTCCCGAGGGTCTGCGCAACTCAAGCAGAAAAAAGAAACAATTATTAAGTCAGACTTTCATCTCCTCACCAGCCTGTTACTCTAGGCCAGATTGCACCATATCAAATGCAATAGAATTTTGTGTGTGCTTTTGGTGTCATGTTGAATCAATGGTAATGTTAGATAGGCTCCTCTCCTGTGGTCTACTGTTTTTAGTTTTCATCATATTTGCTAAGTTTTGTTTCTCTGTGTTGATTCCCATGTTATTTAATGGTTGTAGAAAAATATTTAAATATTGTTTGTACAAATCTTCAGTTCACTATTTGATATAAGAAATATTACATGATGTGAAGACTGAGAAACAAGAGGCCTTGGGTGGTTGCACTCCCGTGTGTACCTATTTTTCTCGACATGAGGACCATCAGCACAGCAGTCCACTACCTCCCCTGTCAAATTATTGCAATAGTGCCAGAACAACTTATCCAAGCCGAGAGTAAGGGGCTAAAGTGGGGGATTTCTGCACAAATAGATGATAATAGCAAATCTAGAATATCTCATTTTCAAAGACAAATATGTACATGAAAGGAGAGGCATCAGTACAACTCATTTTATTTACATTTTTGTGGGTAATAAGACTACACTAGATGAGCATTTCTCAAGTTTCAAGATGTTGCAACAACTAATGCCTTAGTCTCTGCTGCCTTAAAAGTGTCTCAAGTTTAATCTGTATGATAAATAAATTTTGAGTTTAAGGCTGATTTATGATCAGGTTTTTAATTTCACTGGCTTTTAGTTGTGATTTTATAATTGCATGTTAATTCTAAACAGATCTTGGTATCATTGTGCTGTTGTATGTATCAATTACTGAATATTGTGTATTGTATTGATAACTGAATATGTCTGAGTAAGTGCATGGTTAGCCAAGTATTTTTGTGAATGAATACTCTCTTTTTCTCTGTATGCCTTTGGATTTTTTTATCACATGATTCCTTTGTATTGATTTGATTATAAGAGGGTTTTTTTAATATATTCTGGACACCATTGATAATTTAGACTCTAAATAAGATGTATTTCTCTTTGCAATATGGTACTTTAGCATCAAACTGTAGTGATCCCTTACTTTTTGAGAGGAAATTTTAATAAAGAGACGACCTTATTGAATGAGATGCAACGGTGCATGAAAGTCCATCATCTGATGTGGCTTCCATTGTAACATGAAACTCATGAATCAAAGCAGTTCCTGCTGTTTGTGGGTGGAAGAAATCATAGAGGTGGAATAGGCATCTTATGATGTACTGTTTTTGCATGTTTGTTGTATCTCTGTTCTAATCATACAGGCCACAGTGTATTAAAGCTTTGAAATTTATTGGTGAGTTTTATTTTTTCCCTTCTTTAACAAATAAAGGTACACAGACTACATCCTAATGAGAATAGTCTTGCTCCTGATGTCATGTCATATAGAATGGTTGTAACTGTTTTCAATTACTTTGCAATCCAGATTTTCAATTTGACTGAATAAAACCAAAATTCCTCTTTCTTTGTGAAAAAGGGTGTCATTAACTTGTGAAATGCTAATTTTGAATGACTTCTTTATCTCATAGCCTACGAATGAGGTGGGGTTCATGTCATGTGTGACTTGGTCATGGCTCTGGGTGACATGTTATTTACATCACAGCAGACTTGGGCACAGCTCTGGGTGACAGGTCATTCACATCATGTTATGATGATGCGTGCATTACATTGTGCCCCCCCAATCCCTTGCCTGTTGTTGTCATGCGGGTGGCTTAGAAGATGGAGACTAAGGGACAATGTTGGGGATCTTCCCTACCTTAGGCCTCAAGCCCTTGATGCAACTACATTTACATGTACTTTTCTTCTACTTCCCTTTTCCTTATCTTTCCCAACCCCTTCCCCTGTCCAATTTCTAAGGTGTAAGAGCCGGGTTGACAGAATAAAAGACTGACTTTGTGCCAGTCATGAACGGCCTCAGGGAGGCATAGACACGGTATTCTCTTGGTTACTTGTCTACCCCTTACCCCACCCTCAAGGGTGGACTTTTTATCTTCCCCATGTATTTTCAGGCTTAACATGGCTAGTAATGAAGATTTTGTACCCTTATTATGGCACTGAGGCTTGCCCCTTTATCAGCAAGCCTCTCTAAATCTAATTCCTTTGGTTTACCAACCCCTGACTCTCCTTTGATCATGGCTCTGATCACTGCTGCTACACCCACCTCATCGACACAGTGTCAGCTTGACCCATCCCGAATCATCTACCCAGGTTATAACTCAACTTTCGAAAGATACCCCTTCCTCACTTTCAACATCGTCCACCCCTCCCCATCTCTTGCCCATTGTTCGGGCTTAGGAAGCAAAGACTGGAACCCAATGCTGGGGAACTCCCCTGCCTTGGGACTGCCCGTGACTCAGCTAATTTTGCAAGGTCTTTTTTACCCTCCTGTTTTTTTGCTCCTGTCTCTTACCCAACCCCTTCTACTGTCAAGTTCTTAAGGGGTGAGAGCCGTTCTGAAATGATGAAAGGCTGACTTTGTGCCAGTCCTGAATGGCCTGAGGGAGCCATGGGCATGGTATTCCCCTGTTTTAGTGTCTAGCCCTTACCCCTCAAGGGGACCCTGAGGAGTGGACTGTTTCTCTCCCCAACATACTCCAGGCTTACCATGGCCAATAATGAAGATGTTATACCCTTATTAGGGGCAATGAGGCTTGCCCCTTCATCAAACAGCCCCACCAATTCAAACTCTCCCGATTCCCTGATCCCAGGCTCTCCTTTGACCACAGCTCCGGACAATGCAACTACTACCCCCTCCTCAATGCCTACTAGTACATTATCCACCCAAGTCAATACTCATTCTCCAAGAGACATTCCTACTCTCCCAACATGCTCAACTTCATTACTTCTACCCTCCAACCTTCTCTATCAAACACCCCATCCTCCCTTATTACTACTTTACAGCCCTGTTGTCCACCTCTCTGTAATACTATCTCCCTCAACACTATTCCCTCTTCCACATGTCCCCGTCCTTCTACCACCCCATCTCCACAAATATCTTAAATAATCTATTTAGCCCAGCCAAATGGGACTGATTTTTTGTGATCCCTCCTACAGCTCCCTACTCTGACAACACTCTCCTCTTCCTACAAGGTCTCCAAAAAAAAAAAAAAAAACATCTGAAAACCAAGGTATAGCATTATCAATTTTAACTGATCTCTCTGGTAACCCCATTCCTGCAGAACCTCATCTAACCCTCAATACTTGCACTGGAAATGCCTATCTCCCCAGCAAACTGCCCTATTTATAACAAAAATTGGTCAGACTGTGGAGAAGCCTGCCTCACAGACTTTGATGCGATATCAGTACAAAGCTACTCCATTCCCCCAGACGTCATTGTAAGAACCCCACCAACATTGCCAAAATTACTTTCCGTAGACAAGACCTTTCCTTTAAGGTTTACATTTAGATGTCTAGCACATTTATCTTGCTTTTAACCATTAACCATTAACCATTAAGGTTTACATTGGTGGAGAATCCCTCCCTGTCCTACCATATGAACCTCCTCCCCATCAGTGCCAAAATTATTGGCGTTTAGGACATCCTGCCAAACATTGCCGTTCCACACCCAGATATCCTCTATGTGCCCAACCTGGTCATACTCGATCAAACTGCTCTGCACAGTGAGGCACATATGCCAACTGTGGCGACCCCCATAATGTATTTTATAGGGCTGCCCCACCTACAAATTTGTGTCTGAGTTGGCAACTCTCAGACTTGGACTCACTCTACGTGAAACCAAACAGGAAGCACGTCAACGAAGTTTTTCTCTTGCTCCCTACTCGAGTAATGTCGCTCGCTCTGCCCCTCCCCCTCCCTCCCAAGATGTTCCTACACCCTCCCCAATGCCTATCCCTCCTACATCTTACTTCCCCACTTCTACCTCCTACATTCCCCAGTCAAATTCTTTTGCCATTCTAAATCCAGACACTCCAATCTTTACTGCAGCCTCAACACCTTCCCCTCTCCCTCCCCATACTACCCGCAGCAGACAGACTAAACGTTCCACCCCTCCTCCTACCAGACACCCACCTCCACCTACCTTTGCCTCTACTCCTCAGACACTAGTCTCCTCTACCCCCCCCCCCCCTCATAAGAAAACTTTTGACTCACGGAGCTCCCCAACCAATTCCTTTACGGAAACTCTTGAAGATATTCAAAACTATCTACACGAGTCCCAAACTGACACCAAAACCCCTGATCTACCCTCAGATTCCACAACTGCTCTCTCGCCTCATATTCCACAACTGCTCTCTCCACACTCAAAGTGACCGCCGATATCCATCCTCCTCCTGCTCATATTCCTCCTACACCCCTTCCTCCTACTCCCTCCCAACATAGCCCATCCATCGGTTTCCGTCCTCATAGACCTGACCTTCGTCATATACTTTCTTCTTAATTACCTATCCATTATCTGCCTTCAAGAGACTTTTATCTCACAATTTCTGCTCTAATAATCTGTTCTTTTTCCTCAGAAGCGCACATATCCTTCACTTGATCTAACCCCTTCACCTAACCCGACCTTAAGCCATTCACTCATCATCCCCTTTGCCCAGCTCAACCTTTTCAGTATTAATCTAGATAGCTGATGTATAGTAACTAATCACTAACTCAACTACCCTTCACTACCCTTTACTATACCTTCCTATAGTGCTATATGACCTTAGATATCTATCACATTTATTTTGCTTTTAACCATTAACCATTGTCCTCCAATCCACCTCTTGCACAATCGTCTTCTATCTCCGTTTTCTACCTCCTCCTCCCTTATTACAACTCTTCAACCCTATTGTCCTTATCCTAACAGTACTATCTCACTCCACACCACTCCCCCCTCCACCCGTCCTAGCCCTCTAACAAAATTCCCACTTCCACTAACCTCATGAGTACCCTGTTTAGCCCAGCCAAATGAGACAGATTTGTGATTCCCCCAACAACCCTTTACTCCGACAATGCCTTTCTCTTTAAACAGTGTCTCCAAAAACAAGTAGGCAAAGTTTCCTTCCGCAGTCATCCTGACCGCTCACACTTTATCATAGTTACATTTGAGTCACAAGTTCACGCACTGTCTACCCGGATTGACCTCACTGGTAAACCTATCTCTGCCCAACCCCTTTTCTCCATACATGTAATGGAACCATTTCCGTCTCCCTGGCTGATTGCCCTGTCTACGGCAAAGATAGGTCAGACTGTGCTACACTATTCCCCCCAGAGGCGACTGTAAGTCCCACATCAATATTGCCAAGATTACCTTCTGTAGACACGACCTTCCCCATAAGGTCTATATAGGAGGAGAATCATGCCCTGTCACACCATATCAACCCCCGTCAATGTCAGAAATGTTGGCGTTTAGGCCACCTTACAAAGTACAGTCACTCCTCAGCCCTTGTGCAACTTGGCCATGGCCATTCAAACTGCCCTACACTATCACGTATATGTGCTAATTGCCCTACACTATCACGTATATGTGCTAATTGCGGTGGCTCAGATTTTATAGAGGCTACCCTGCCCACAAGTTTGAGTCTGAGGTAGCATTTCTCAAATACAAACTCGGCCTCACTCTACAAGAGGCCAGACAGGAAGCACGCCAACGAGGTTTTCTAATCACTCCCTACTCCAATGCCATCCTTCACACCACTCCTATCCCCTCTACCCAAGTAGTCTTCCTATCTTCCTCAGTACCACTTCCTCCTACTCCTCAACTTCCCACCTCTACTTCCCCTATCTCCAAGTCAATTTTTTTTTTCCATTCTAAATCCAGATACTCCAATATCCACAACGCTCCTATGTCTCTCCCTATTCTTCGATGTATCTATCACGCCAGACAACCCAAACGTTCCATCCCCTCTTCTCCTCACACCCTTTCCCACATCTGTATCCTCTACTCCTCAGATGCCTATCTTCTCTTCACCTCCTCATAAGAAATCTTTTGTTTCTCAAACCTTCCACCCAAATCCCCTCTAGAACCCCTTGAGGACATGAGAAGCTTCCTAAGTAAGATACAAGAGGAAGTTCCCCTCTCTCATCCTCCATGTCATCCTCCAACTTTTCTAATCCCATTCCGGCTACATTCAAAGTGACTGCCAGTATCCATCCTCCTCCTCCTTATATTCCCCCTACCCCTCTCCTTCCAACATACCTATACTATTCTCCACCCAAAACACCCTCCTTCCCTACTATCCTTACCACTCCCTCCTGGATACACACGTGATTTCCTTTTAGTCAAAATGCCCTACCTTAAATTCCGTCTTCCCTGATGGACTTCCTGACATAATACCTTCACCTCCTTCCTCTGAC